CGGAAACTTATATTGGTTGAGGATAAGCCCTCCCGGCCTCGTTCTTACCTCTGTCTTCTTCAGCTTGAGCTTCCTGGGGCCACGCCCTTCGAACCCCGGCCTTGTCCTTGCCTCCGTCGTCTTTTTGCTGGGGTCACGCACCTCGGACCTCATATTGGTTGAGGCCTCGTCCTTTCTCTTTTCTCCAAGATGAAACCATGCACCTGGGAGCCTATCTTGGTTGAGGATAGGCACTCCGGCCTCTCCTCGCCTCCGTCCTGTTCGAGTTGAGACCACGCACCTCCGACCCGGTTTTGGTTGAGGAGAAGTGCTCCGGCCTGGTTCCCGCCTCCATCCTCTTCAAGTTGAGACCGCGCACCTGGGACCCCATATTGATTGAGGATAGGCACTCCGGCCTGGTCTCGGCTTTTGTTCTCTCCAGACCACGAACCTGGGAACCCATGACAGTTGAGGATAGGCGATCCGGCCTTGTCGCCGCCTCTGTCTTCTTCAGGTTGAGACCACGCGCCGAGAACGTATTCTGAGAGTAAGTCCTTCGAGCTTGTTGTCGCCTCCTCTTGAAGCTCGCCTTCTTCTGCCTTCAAGCACCTGGCACTGATGCACGCTGCGGTAGGGCACGCACCTAGGACCCCATATCGGTTGAGGATAAGTGCTCCGCCCTCGTACCCACCTTCACCTTCTTCGGGCCGAGATCGCGTACCTGGGACTCCACGTTGGTCGAGGATAAGCGCTCCGGCCTCGTCCCCGCCTCCGCTTTCGCACCTGGGACCCCATATGGGTTGAGGATAAGCGCTCCGGCCTCGTCCCTGCCGAGCACGCACCTGGGACCCCAGCTCCGGCCTCGTCCCCGCCTCCGCCTTCTTCGGGCTGAGACCACGCGCCTGGAACCCCATATTGCGCCGGCCTGGTCAGCGAGAGCACGCACCTGGGACCCCATATTGGTTGAGGATAAGCGCTCCCGCCTCCGAGCACGCGCCTGGAACATATTGGTTGAGGATAAGCGCTCCGGCCTCGTCGCCTTCTTCGGGCCGAGACCACGCACCTGGGACCCCATATTGGTTGAGGATGAGTGCTCCGGCCTCGTCCCTGCCTCCGCCTTCTTCGACTGAGACCACGCACCTGGAACCCCACATTGGTTGAGGATAATCAGCGCTCACCTCCTCACTTCGGTCTCTTGGGGTTGGGACCACGTACCTGGGGCACCATGCAGGCGAGCCTGCACGGCTTCGTTCCCGCTCCCGGCCTTCTTCTTCTTGAGGATACGCACCTGGCACTCCACGCTGGTTGCGGTCTAAGTGAGCGGGTTTGGGAGGGGGGTGGGAGGGGCAGAGCGAGGGGGGGGGAAGGGAGCGGGGGAGGGAAGGGGGGGAGGGAGGGGGGGGACCCTCCGGAGGGGGGCACCGGGTGGGGGGGGGAGGGAGGTGGGGGGGAGCCCCACACCCCATTTTAGTTGAGGATTGTTTTTTGGTGTCTGCCCACTACCCCCCCTTAGACTCGTGCCACCCTCCGGAGGAGGCACCGGGTGGGGAGGGGGAGGGAGGGGGGGAGGGTGGGGGAGGGGGGCGGGGAGGGGCGGGAACCAACGCCCCATTTTAGTTGAGGATTGTCTTTTGGTGTCTGCCCACTACCCTCCCGGCCCAGGAGGGGGGGGGGAGGGCGGGGGAGGGGGGGCGGGGGGGAGACCCCGCACCCCATTGATTTCTGCCACTACCTTCCCTGAGAATTCGTGCCACCCTGCCACCTCTGGAAGGGAGGCCGTCAATAGGGCATGGGAGGGGGAGGGAGGGGGGAGGGGGAAGGTCGGCTAGCTCCTGAACTGCATACCTTCAGGTTCCTGTTTTGTTTGAGGAAAAGCTCTCCGGATAAGCCCTCTCAGCCTTGTCGCTGAGACCACACACCTCGGCAACCCACATTGGTTGATGCTCAAGCTTCCATACCCTGGATTGTCCTTGCCTCTGTCTTCTTCTTGAGCTCCCACACCTCGGAACCCCATACCGGTTGAGGATAAGCCTTCCCGCCTTGTCCCTGCCTCTGTCTTCTTCGGCTGGAGCTTCCACACCCCGGAAACCCACATCGGTTGAGGATAAGCTCTCCCGGCCTTGCCGTTGCCTCTGTCTTCTTCGACTCGTGAGCTTCCGCACCTCGGAAACCCACATCGGTTGAGGATAAGCTCTCCCGGCCTTGCCGTTGCCTCTGTCTTCTTCGACTTGTGAGCTTCCGCACCTCGGAAACCCACATCGGTTGAGTATAACCCCTCCCGGCCTTGTCCTTGCCTCTGTCTTCTTCGACTTGTGAGCTTCCACACCTCGGAAACCCATACTAGTTGAGGATAAACCCTCCCGGCCTTGTCATTGCGCTTCTGCAGCTTGAGACCCCACGTCTTGGAAACCCATATTGGTTGATGATAACCCCTCCCGGCCTTGTCCTTGCCCTTCTTCATCTTGAGCTTCCACGCCTCGGAAACTTATATTGGTTGAGGATAAGCCCTCCCGGCCTCGTTCTTGCCTCTGTCTTCTTCAGCTTGAGCTTCCTGGGGCCACGCACTTCGACCCCCGGCCTTGTCCTTGCCTCCGTCGTCTTTTTGCTGGGGTCACGCACCTCGGACCTCATATTGGTTGAGGCCTCGTCCTTTCTCTTTTCTCCAAGATGAAACCATGCGCCTGGGACCCTATCTTGGTTGAGGATAGGCACTCCGGCCTCTCCTCGCCTCCGTCCTGTTCGAGTTGAGACCACGCACCTCGGACCCGATATTGGTTGAGGAGAAGTGCTCCGGCCTGGTTCCCGCCTCCATCCTCTTCAAGTTGAGACCGCGCACCTGGGACCCCATATTGATTGAGGATAGGCACTCCGGCCTGGTCTCGGCTTCTGTTCTCTCCAGACCACGAACCTGGGAACCCATGAAAGTTGAGGATAGGCGATCCGGCCTTGTCGCCGCCTCTGTCTTCTTCAGGTTGAGACCACGCGCCGAGAACGTATTCTGAGAGTAAGTCCTTCGAGCTTGTTGTCGCCTCCTCTTGAAGCTCGCCTTCTTCTGGCTTCAAGCACCTGGCACTGATGCACGCTGCGGTAGGGCGCGCACCTAGGACCCCATATCGGTTGAGGATAAGTGCTCCGCCCTCGTCCCCACCTTCACCTTCTTCGGGCCGAGAGCTCCCGCCTCCGAGCATGCGCCTGGAACATATTGGTTGAGGATAAGCGCTCCGGCCTCGTCGCCTTCTTCGGGCTGAGACCACGCACCTGGGACCCCCTATTGGTTGAGGATGAGTGCTCCGGCCTCGTCCCTGCCTCCGCCTTCTTCGACTGAGACCACGCACCTGGAACCCCACATTGGTTGAGGATCGTCAGCGCTCACCTCCTCACTTCGGTCTCTTGGGGTTGGGACCACGTACCTGGGACACCATGCAGGCGAGCCTGCACGGCTTCGTTCCCGCTCCCGGCCTTCTTCTTCTTGAGGATACGCACCTGGCACTCCACGCTGGTTGCGGTCTAAGTGAGCGGGTTGGGAGGGGAGGGGGGTGGGAAGGGGGTGGGAGGGGCAGAGCGGATGGAGGGGGAGGGGGAGGGAAGGGGGGAGGGCTCCGGAGGGGGCACCGGGTGGGGGGGGAGGGAGAGGGGGGAGGGTGGGGAGGGTGCGGGGGGAACCCCACACCCCATTTTAGTTGAGGATTGTTTTTTGGTGTCTGCCCACTACCCCCCGTGAGACTCGTGCCACCCTCCGGAGGAGGCACCGGGTGGGGAGGGGGAGGGAGGGAGGGTGGGGGAGGGGGGCGTGAGGGGAGGGCGGGGGAGGGGGGGCGGGGGGAAGACCCCGCCCCATTGATTTCTGCCACTACCTTCCCTGACAACTGCCAACTGTGGAAGGGGCGGAAAAAGCCGTCAATAGGGATGGGAGGGGGAGGGAGGGGGAGGGGGAAGGTCGGCTAGCTCCTGAACTGCATACCTTCAGGTTCCTGTTTTGTTTGAGGAAAAGCTCTCCGGATAAGCCCTCTCAGCCTTGTCGCTGAGACCACATTTCAATTTCTCAAAGTAGGAGCTGCGCTGTCACGGTATACAATTCTATTTACCTGTTCTGAGGGTTTAGGGTTTAGGGTTAGGTTTAGGTTAGGGTTTTAGGGTTTCAGGGGTTTAGGGTTTAGGGTTTAGGGTTTAGGTTTATTGTTTAGGGTTTAGGGTTTAGGGTTTAGGGTTTAGGGTTTAGGGTTTAGGGTTTAGGGTTTAGGGTTTAGGGTTTAGGGTTTAGGGTTTAGGGTTTATAGAAATTGTTAAGGGTTTGGGTCCCAATAACTCTTTGGGGCACCGGCCAACCCTCCACCTCTTGCACAAGAACGGAAGGTTGTCCGACCTCGAAAAACTTCCCGGGAAGTTTTTCGAGGTCGGGCAACCTTCCGCTCTTGTGCAAGAGGTGGAGGGTTGGCCGGTGCCCAAAAGAGTTTCTTTTTGCGAACCATGTTTTCAAATTTGTTGGGGGGCTGGGCTCTTGGGCGCCAAAAACGTTTTGAGCGAAACGTTTTGAGCGAAACGTTTTGAACGAAACGTTTTGAACGAAACTTTTGAACGAAACGTTTTGACCGAAAGTTCTTTGCCACATTTTCAATTTGCTGGTCTGGGCTGAGCTCTGGGCTGGGCTGGGCTGGCTGGGCTGGTCTGGGAAGGGCTGAAGGCTCGCGTTGGCGGCTGGGCTGTGGGCTGGGCTGCGTTGGGCTGGGTTGGACCAGGCGGGGCTGGGTGGGCTGGGTGGGCTGGGCTGGGCTGGGGGCTGGGCTGTTGGGCGCTTGGCTAGGCCAGCTATTGCAAGATCCGAATGTTGTTCTTGGCGATATGAACGGCCTCCACAATGCAGGCTGCTTCGATTGCAACGAATGGCTACTAACTACTAACTACTACGTGCAAGGGGCCCCCAGGCGCGACTAGTAAGGATCAAGGACTTGGCAAGGTGTGCCAACAAGTGTATTTAGGAGCACCAGCAAGAAAAAGCACAAAAGTGGCTCGGATACTACTGTGGACGGTTGTGTCGACATGTTGTGGCAGCGTCATGACTGTTATATGTGTGCCCCCTCAGCTTCGAGCCTGCTTGGCATCTCCTTTCGCTGCTAATGGATGTGCGGTGGCTCCTGACGTGGACCACCGGCTCGAAAGCATCGGTTGCCAATCGAATTACCCAACCCTCATCAAAGCCGCGTCAGCAAGGCAAGACTGTTTACATGAGCCAGTGCTGAGCGAGTGCATAGAATTCAAACTAGAACGAGCACACAGCTGTCTGCACGATGAGCCAAGCTCGTTTTGGTGACACTTCAGGCTTCAGGCTCCAAGCCGGAGCACCGCGTAGGTTTCGCAAGGTTGCAAGTCTGGGTGCCAATTCATGACCAGCTCAGGCTTGCCTTGGAAGCAATCTAACACATATATTCGGCCATCACAGGATGTCAGAGCAGCCCAATGCTCATTACCAGAATTCTGGTCGCCACGGATTTGCAGCAGGCTCTGTGCTCCAGCTGGCCAAATGCTTGGGTCAGAACAATACTGCAATTTGAAACCAATCTGTTCCAGGGCACAGCCAACGGCGAAAGGAGACAGTATCTTGCCATCCCGCTTCACACACATGCGCCAATCATGTTCAGAACCGCGTGCCTTCAATAGGCGTTGGGCCGTCTGCAAAGTGATGTCGCACGTGGGTCTGCCCAGTGCGTTGTTGATGGAGCACGTCGCACTCGCCAACTGTTTCTGTGCGAAATCCAGACTTTCATGCGGGCTCTGGAAGTAAAGGATGTGGCCGGTTTCAGCCAAGAATCTCCATTGCGGATGATTCTGGCATGACATCCTGTCAGATAGAGGCACTCGAAAGCCAGCTTGCAGTATATCCTCTTCGATTGCCCACTTCGCGGCTCTGCAGCTCAAAAGAGGCCCTTCAGCCATAGCCATCAGCTCAGAATATCTTCGTCTCAGTTCCCTCCGAGCTCGCCACCATCTTTGGCGGTATCCTCTCAGCGACGCCTTCTTCCCCTTCCAAACTGTACCACCTGCGACTTTCTTTAACGCAGTGGCAAGACGATGTGCCATCTTGCGATTGTGCACATAGTAATAGTGAAGAATCCAGCTTTGGCCACCACTGCGCTGGCTTGATGCAGACTGCACATATTTTCGGCTGCGGGTGCTCAGGCTCGTCCGCGGGATTGCTCGGCCGAGCAAGAACTGCCTCAGGCGCCGTTGCTTCTTATGCAACCAACTGCTGGATGGCTTGAAGTTGGGACGCTCTCCGGCCTTTGCCCGCAAGCCACATTGCTCGCTGGCAGATAGCACACACAATGATCCCAACCCAAATGCCGCTTCATATGTCGGCGACCCGACTTGCCGCCAGTGCTTCAGCTGTCTGATCAAATTGCCTCTGGCCACACGAGAACCAAGAGCGAGTTCTAGGCTTTCCAGACTGCACAGTACGCAGCTCTTGTTGCTGGTTTGCGCAGGTCCACCTCTACCATCTTGCGAGAAAATGCATGGTCGGGCTCCGTCTCCTGATGGATCCTCGAAGCCATGGCAATAGCGAGGCATGGCGACGAATCTACTGGGATTGCATGTTGTTCAGACACTTCGCCTTCGCAAACAAAGTAAGCCAGACGGCAAAGGACAGTGTGTCGAAGAATGGGGGCCTAGGACCTAGACCCTTGAGCTGCTGGCGCTGTAACAGTGGAACACCACTACAGGCTTCTAGCTTTCCAGGTAGTTGCGCTTCATAAAATACATCGGGATAAGGATTGCCGGCTTCTCGCTAGCTTGACAAGATCTTTTCAATTTTACGGCAGCTGAACCCAAACCCTGGATTTGGGGCTGGGCCTGGATTCGCGGTCTGGGGCCTGGATTTGGGGCTGGGCCTGGAAGAAATTGTTAAGGGTTTGGGTGCCAAAAACGTTTTCAACGAAACGAACCCAACGAATTAGGGTCTGGGGCCTGGAGATTTGGTGGGCTCTAGGCCAGCTTTTGGATAAGCGTTTGGTGGTGCCCGCCCTCTAGGCTCTGCCTAGGCCAGCTGCCTGGGATGCCAGCCCCTGGGCTCTGCCTAGGCCAGCCCCTAGGCTCTGCCTAGGCCAGCCCCGAGCAAATCGACTGTGCACCAAAAAAAGGTTTATCCTAAGCGTTTGGTGGTGCCTCTGCCTATGCCAGCCCCTAGGCTCTGCCAAGGCCAGCCCCTAGGCCAGACCCAGGAAATCGGGTGCACCAACAAAAAAAGGTTTATCCTAAGCGTTTGGTGGTGTCTGGGCTCTGCCTAGGCCAGCCCCGTAGGCTCTGCCCAGGCCAGCCCCTAGGCTCTGCCTAGGCCAGCCCCCAGGCCCCTAGGCTCTGCCTATGCCAGCCCCGGCTCTGCCAAGGTCCATCCTAAGCGTTTGGTGGTGTCTGGGCTCTGCCTAGGCCAGCCCCGTAGGCTCTGCCCAGGCCAGCTTCTAGGCTCTGCCTAGGCCAGCCCCCCAGGCTCTGCCTAGTGGGTGCGCACCAACAAAAAAGGTTTATCCTAAGCGTTTGGTGGTGCTCCAGCCCCAAGGCTCTGCCCGGGCCAGCCCCTAAGCTTTGCCTAGGCCAGCCCCTAGGCTCTGCCCCAGGCTCGGGTTCCGCCACCGCTTTCCGCAGCCCACCGAATCGGGATTTGGATTTGGGCCCTGGAATCCAACCACCCTCCACCCTCCCTCCGCCCCCACTCCCCTCCCCCCCTCCCCCCCACGCCCCCGCACGAGGAGCCTTGGGCTGGGCCAGAGAAACCATGAGCAGTGCGCTAAGAGCCACTGCCGGGTGTGCACCTGCCCGGGCCCGACCTCTGGGCCTGGATTTGGGGCTGGATTTGGCTGGGCCTGGATTCTGGATTTGGGGTTTGGGAGGGACCTGGATCTGGGTCTGGGAAGGGGCTGGGCCTGGATTTGGGCTGGGATTTGGGTTTGGGGTTTAGATTGGGGCTGGTTTTGGGCCTTTTTTGGTGCTTGGATTTGGCGTCTGGGTCTTGGGGCCTGGATTTGGGGTCTGGGTTGGAGGTTATGGAGAAATTGGTTTATCAAGAAGCTTGTTCAATTTTAAGCGGCGTGTTGGGCCGTAATGGTGGTTACAAGTTTGTGGAGAAATTGGTTTATCAAGAAGCTTACTCAATTTTTAATCGGTGTGTTGGGCCGGCTGGGCTGGGCTGGGCTGGACCGTTTTGGCTTGGCTGGCTGGGCTGAGTTAGAAGTTGAGGTCGTGGTTGTGCGAAATTGGTTTATCAAGAAGCTTGTTCCGTTTTTGATCGGGTGGCTGGTTTGAGTTGGCTGGGCTGAGTTAATGGTTGAGGTTGTGGAGGCTGTTTTGAGTTGGCTGGGCTGAGTTAGAAGTTGAGGTCGGGGTTGTGCGAAATTGGACTATCAAGAAGCTAACGCCAATTCTAATCGAAATGCTGGGCCTTAGCGGTGCTTACAAACAAGGACAAGCAATTTCTATTTATCACTTTCTTGAGGGTTTAGGGTTTAGGGTTTAGGGTTTAGGGTTTAGGGTTTAGGGTTTAGGGTTCAGCAGCTCTGGGTCGAGCAGTTTCTAGTCAAGCTTACATTTCTGGACTTAGACAAAAACCCACCCGCCCAAAGAATCCCCTAACATTAAGAAAATACAGAGTATTTTTTTTTCACAGCTTGTACTCCTCATCACCGTTGGTCAGCACTTCACTAGTAGCGTTAACTTTGCTCGCCGATCACCGAAGCATGGTTGAACTGAAAAACTGGGTTGGTCGAAAAGGCCAAAATCCTCGACAGGGTTGGTCGGAAAAGGCCAAAATCCCCTACATCCCCTACAGGGTTGGTCGAAAAGGCCAAAATCCCCTACAGGGTTGGTCGAAAAGGCCAAAATCCCCTACAGGGTTGGTCGAAAAGGCCAAAATCGCTTACAGGGTTGGTCGAAAAGGCCAAAATCCTCGACAGGGTTGGTCGGAAAAGGCCAAAATCCCCTACAGGGTTGGTGGTCGAAAAGGCCAAAATCGCCTACAGGGTTGGTCGAAAAGGCCAAAATCCTCGACAGGGTTGGTCGGAAAAGGCCAAAATCCCCTACAGGGTTGGTCGGAAAAGGCCAAAATCCCCTACAGGGTTGGTCGAAAAGGCCAAAATCGCCTACAGGGTTGGTCGAAAAGGCCAAAATCGGCTACAGGGTTGGTCGGAAAAGGCCAAAATCCCCTACAGGGTTGGTCAGAAAAGGCCAAAATCCCCTACAGGGTTGGTCGAAAAGGCCAAAATCGGCTACAGGGTCGGTCGGAGAAGGCCAAAATCGGCTACAGGGTTGGTCAGAAAAGGCCAAAATCCCCGACAGGGTTGGTCGGAAAAGGCCAAAATCCCCGACAGGGTTGGTCGGAAAAGGCCAAAATCGGCTACAGGGTTGGTCCCGAAAAGGCCAAAATCCCTTACAGGGTTTAAATATACATATGAAAGAGAGGGTTTAGGGTTTAGGGTTTAGGGTTTAGGGTTTAGGGTTTAGGGTTTAGGGTTTAGGGTTTAGGGTTTAGGGTTTAGGGTTTAGGGTTTAGGGTTTAGGGTTTAGGGTTTAGGGTTTAGGGTTTAGGGTTTAGGGTTTAGGGTTTAGGGTATAAGGTTTAGGGTTTAGGGTTTAGGGTTTAGGGTTTAGGGTTTAGGGTTTAGGGTTTAGGGTTTAGGGTTTATAGAAATTGTATAGGGTTTGGGTCCGGGGTTTTGACCGGGTTTTGTTTTTTGCTTTGGTGTTTTGATTTTGAATTGACAGGGTTTTGACATTTTTCTTTCGCTTTGGTGTTTTGCTTTGGGAATGGGCTGTCCTGGGGTTCGGGCTGGCTGGAGTGACTGGTGTGAAGGAGGGGGGGGTTGCGAGACTGGTCGGTGGGCGCACGAGCTGGGGGTGCTGGGGCGGCTTGGGCTCAGCGAAGCTCTTGGACGGTTTTGATCTTGCAAGTGGACTGTTGGGCAAGGATCGGGGCTGGATATCTACTTTTGATTCTGGGCAGGGCTGGCTGGGCTAGCCGCTTGGGCTCGAACAGGCATTGACCCTTCCTCTATCTGGTGCCAAGGAGCCGCAGAGACCAAGATCCTGTATGAGGGTGGCTTGACCCTTCGTCTCTCTGACGCCATGGCGCAGGGCAAAGCAGCTTGGGAACAGAGACTAGTACCTGCAAACAGGAGAGAACGTTTAATGTCCATTGTATAGGGTTTGGGTCCGGGGTTTTGACCGAAAGTTTTGACCGAAAGTTTTGGGCAGTTTCGTTTTTCGCTTTGGTGTTTTGATTCCGTGACCGGGCTGGGCTGGGGTTGGGGCTTGCTGGAGCCGGCGCTGTGGCTGGGGCTGGGGTTGGACCGAAAGTCCTGCTCTTGGGTCCTTGTGCGTGGGCATGCAGGCTGGCGGCTACAAATTGGGTCCAGGGCTTTGAGCGAAAGTTTAGACCTTTGATTTTGGGAGTGGGCTGGCCTGGGGTCGGGCCTGGCTGGGGTCGGGGCCGGATTGGGCTGGAGTCCGGGGTTTTGAACGAAAGTTTTGACCGGGCTTGCTTCTTTGTTTGGTGTTTTGATTTTGGGACTTTGAGCGAAAGTTGTTGCTCTGCAAGTTTGAACCTGGTGGGTTTTGGGCTGGGCTGAGCTGGGTGGGCTGGGCTACGAGGCTGGACTAGCCACTTGGGCGTGGCTTGGCTGGGGGCTTCACCTTGCATTGACCCTTCGTCTTTCTGGCGCCAAGGAGCAGGAACCAGGCAGCTTGGGAACAGAGACCAACACCTGCAAGCAGGATAGAACATGTGGTGTCCATGCAACAAGGAAATCAATACCTGCAAGCAGGATAGAACGTTTGGTGTCCATGCGACAGGGAAGGCTTAGTATGTGACTGTTGTCTATCTGCAGTCACGGAGCTGGCTCAAAACCAGCACGCGATAAAGACCCACCGGGAATCAAGATGTTGAGCCCATGCCGGGGACGGCAGCGTTGATGCTGTGAGTGCACTGCAAAACGGCGCCTGTGTCGCCGCAGTTTCGGACATGCTTCACATGTTGGCAACGCACTACTCTCTTTTTGCTGGTCGCGGTCTGCGCCTGTACTATGTTGCTGCCGCCTTGTGCTGGCGCAGCCTCAGAAGCCGCGCTGGCCTTTCAAACGTGCCTCAGTGCGTAGGTCGGGTGCACCACAAGAAGGGCGTCCAGTTCTCCATCGCTAAGCTCCTGCGGCTGCTCCTGCATGGAATCCAGGTAGAGGAAGCAGTGCTCTAGAGGCCTCACAGCCACCCAGTGCCGACCTTCAAGGTTCACCACCGCGCCAATGCAGCCGTGCAGGTCTCCGGCGGTCGTGGCACGCCGGATGTCCATCTGCCAGCGTAGTTGTCCGAACTCTTCCATCGCCTTGGTTCTGAGGACCATGCTCATGATTTCGATCGAATAGTCCCCCTGAGGTTCCAGATGGTCCTGCATGTTGTCGCCAAGCTCGAAATTCTCGTCCAGAAAGGCTTTGGCAGCTCGGGGCATGTCGACCGCGTCAATGCAATGAGCCCCGAGGGCATTGTTCAAAGCGTGGAGGCCGCACCGAAGCGCTTCCTGACGCTCGAAG